GAAGAGAAACACTTGAACACTATTTGTAGGAAAGCAAGTTAGTAGAGCCATTATTGAAAAAAGTATAAAGGTTTCTCTGAAAACTAGAGTAGTACTACTTATGATCCTACAATCACACTACTGCATATTTTTCAAAAGGAAATCAAGTTATTGCATCCAAGAGATATCTCCATCTCTACATTTATTTCAACACCATTCACAATGGCTAAGACATGGAATCAATGAAGGTGCTACCCCTGGATGAATGGATAAAGACTATACACATGGGATAGTATTCAGTCATATGCAGGACAAATTCTGTCATTGGTGGCAACATGGATGGAACTGGAGACCCTAATAGGGAACATACACCAGGCACAATATTATACACATGATTTAACACATAGTGGACGCTAACAAATCTGAATGCATAGAACTAATGAGCATAACAGTGGTTCCTGGAGACCAGAGAGGGAGACACTGGTGATGGAGGGAAGAAATTGCTCAACAGATACAAATGAACAGCCCATGGGAAGAAAAAATGCTGTGTCACACCACATAGATATTGATAATGGTTAATATTATTATATCATACAATTCAAAATACCTAAAGAGAGGAGGCAAAGACCTGATCGAAATGCAAGGATAAATGTTTGCAGAGATCAAGAACCTGAATATTTGTGTTATACAACATATAATGTACAAATGTGCTGAAACATAAGATGGTATCATATAAAAAAGTACAATTATTACTTGCCAATATAACACTTTTAATATAAAATACGTGTGGGCTGTATTGCCTTTAAAATATGAGCTAAGATTTCTCTGTCCTGATGATTTTGATTTTAAAGTTTAGATAAATTAATTCCTGAGTATCACATGTAATCCACAATACCTTGAAATCACAATGGAAATTTTTGATATTCAGAATGCAAGCTTATATTCCTTTCTGAAACACAATAATATTACTTTCAATTAATGTTTTTAAAAATATAGAGTTGTTATGCTATAAATCATAAATACTAAACCCAAGTAAGTCCACAAAAACAATAAACAAGTCAAGCAACTCTTGAAACAATAAAACTAAATTATTTTTTGTTTCAAGGCTTATGATTTCAGTGGGGATAACCTTTCATAGCCAGCTCCCCTTGCTCCTTCTCTCTCCTTCAGACAACCTTCTTGAGGCCAATGCACTTGTTCTCACTCTTTCTCCCCCACACATGTCACAGATGCATTCTGGATCCTATACCCTTCTCCATGTAAATGTGAGAGGTCTGTTTCTCCACACCTTACCACTTGACCATGGTCTAGAGGATGCTGACCAACTGATTGGGACCTGTGGCCATGGAGACAGAATGGAATCTTCCACAAATATCTTTTCCATTACTTGTCAGTGAAACAGATGGACATAATAGAAGGTTGGTGGATATAATGTAGACATGAGCTGAGCCTCAACTATAGACATTTTCTGACTATTCTTTCTCCAAACTGTGTGAACCAGCTTTCCACCAGTCCCCATGGTATGGTAATAGAGCAGTACTATACAATACAACAGTCCCTTGCCTTGCCTCTATTTTTTCCCCCACGTAATGTTTTGTTCCAGAAATATAACAGTTTGTGGTACTGGGCAGTGGCTTCCACCCAATTTATCAAAATGTTTTTGAGTGTTTGAACTGTGTGACCTTTCAGAAATGTTCTCTTAACCTCTTCCCCCACTCAAGAATGTTGGTAACCTCTTCCCCCTCACAAGTATGTTCTGTTAGGCTCCTTCACCTCACAAGAATGTTCTTGTAGGTTCTGGGTCCTTTCAAGAACGTTCTGTAACTCCAGACTTCTGCTTCAGTAAGGATGCTCACACACCATTTGTTTCAGGAATGTTTCATAACTCTGTCCCTCTGCTTCAGTGAGCATGCTCACCTACATACTCTATAGATCCCTATATAAGAAGACTTTCATTTATGGTAGAGCACTCAGTCTTTGTAGTATTAACTCCTCTGAGCCTTCAGGCATAGTAAAAGTTTTCTCCACCTCTTTGACCATTGGATTCTTGAGTCTTCAAATTTCAATAGCTAGAGCTGTAATATTGAGTTCTAACACTCAGCTGTGCCTCAGAGCTATAACACTTGGGTATGGCACTGAGCTATTTTGCTTTGTCACATTTGGTTCCCTGACTGGGCATCTGATTGAGCTGGACCTTTGAGCCACTGGTTTGGAGTTGGAGAGTGACAACAGGCTACCCTCTCCAATGAACACCAGTTTGGTGGCTTCTCCTCCATTGGGTGAGAGTGGTGGTTGACTGTGTTTGCTTCTCCTGACCAGACTCAGGAAAAAAAAGTGGACTAAATATCCCTTCAGGATTTCAGGAATTCAGGATACAGTAAACCCTGGGGCCCAGTTTGAACCTAGTCAGTCCTGCCCTAATGGACACAAGGAATCTGATGTTCTCTCTGAGTCTCAAGCCAGAGACTTCAGTCAGAGTTCTCACTGGGAGGTGGGACAATTAAACCTCTGAGTAACTGGTGAGAGTGAGTGATACTGGGCATGGTCCTCCACAACTGGCCCATGTGGCTCCATGGCTTTGGCTTTGGGGTTTGATTGGGTCCTACCCTGCGGTTCCATGGCAGTGTTGTAAGGAATATGGGTGACTCACCATCTGTGATGGGAGGCTGATAAGGTGAGGGATTACCCATGCACCTTACCAAAAATTGCCTAAGCTCCCAAAAGAGACATAGCCAAGTGTACATCTATGTGGTCTCCTTTGGGAGGTTCCCATCCTTTGTCTGTTGCACCATCATTCAAGGGCACTATGTACACTATGGGTAACAACCATAGTAAACCCACGGTCCTGGATTGCATGGTCAAAAAATTTCAAGAATGGATTTAGTGGAGAACATGGAGTTAGAATGAACCCTGCAAGGTTGTGAACCCTCTCTGAAATATATTGGCTCCAGTTAAATGTAGGGCGACCCCCTTAAGGAATTCTGGATGTTCAGACTGTGTGTGCAGTCTGGAGAGTCATTACTGACAAAGCAGACCAATCTGATTTGGTTCCCTATTTTGATTTTCGGCTACAGGTTGCCCAGACCCTACCCCCGGGTCCAATTCTACATTGGCAGAAAGGGACAGAGTCAGGTTTTCATAGCCCAAAGTAGTGGCCACCTCTCCAAGATCCGAGAAAGGCCAGTTTTTCAGGGCCCACTAGAAGAAGATCTGCTGCCCCAGTCTTATGTCCCAGAGCTGCAATATGGACCTACCCCACTGATTCCACCTCCTGTCATCAGTCTCACCTGGTAGCCCATCTTCAGATCTGCTGCCTACTCAAGCAGCAGCCCTTATTCAAAATCCTCCAATAGGCCCATGTCCATCTCTGGCCAGCCTTCTTCTTCCTTATCTGCCTCTTCTGGATCCAGCCTCAAGTCCCTCCAGCATCCCACATGGTGATGAGATTGCTTCCCTTGAGGCACTTATTGTCAGGTTTCTTCAGTGACTCAAACCTCAGCTATCCAGCTACCTATCTGTGAGACTCTACCACTGTCCCAAATCCTGGACTATGGCACCATTTAGCCTGGCTTTGTCAGTCTACTACTAGTCCTTTACCACATCAGATTTTCTGACCTGGAAATAATACACTTTGTCTGCTTACTCTGGCGATTCCACCAAGATCAACAACTGCCCCTCTCAGGGGTGTGGGTGTATGGGGCTGATCAGACCAGCCCTCAGAATCCATCTCCCTCAGTTTAGCCTCCAGTGCAGCCTCCCATTTTGACTCAATGGAACCGCTCCCCCCAGAGTCCTCCCCAATCCCATTGATGAGGGGCCCTGTTAGACAGTTCATCCTCTCTTATCCCCTATCTTCTGCTGGGTGCTCCAGAAACACCCACACAGCCATCAATGTTCCAGGAGTTGGGGGAAAGGGAAGGGAACTTGCCCATCTCAGGATACTCTTCATTACACAGGATACCCTAACAACTTGAGGTCACCAGATTAGTGCTGGAAGGAGGCACCAGCTCCCATGGTGCCTCCCTGGTACATCAGAGTGAGATGAGACTGGGTGAATATGTCTTAATTTTCAATTTCCAGGGCAAGACCAAGCACCTCTTCTTGTCACTGAATAAGGAGAGTGAGTGCTGGGTTCAGCTCTTGAGGGTCCAGTCCATTTTCCATATGCCCAAGTATATATGAGTATGTCTCATCCCTCTGGAGTCTGGAGGCTCCAGAGATGCTGTCTTTGTCATCAGCTATGTGCCCTCCCAGTGGCAGCAGGGCCAGGAGAAGGGTGAGAGCCATGCTGGAGTGTGCAAGAGAGATCAATGTTATTCCAATGCCTCTTCCACTCTCCTCAACTCTGGGGAGAGGCATAGAATTTTCACAGAAAATATCTACAGGCTCAGGTCCCTGGGGAATTCATGGGCACTGCAGAAGTGGAAAAGGCTGTAGTTCCAGATACTGAGCCGGCCTGGGACACTCAAACCCCTGCCAGACAAGGCCCTCTCAAATGACTTGGAGAGACCATCCTCAGAGGAATCCATGTTGTGGCCAAAAAGCCAAAAAACTTGTCAAAATTGGCCTCAGTGACTCACAAACCAGATGAGTCTCCCAGTGACTTTTATAAGCAATTCTGTGAAGCTTTCTGCATCTTCAACCCATTCGATCCCATGGTTCCTGAAATTCAGCTGATTGTTAATGCTGCCTTCATAGCCTAGTCCACCTGGGATACTAGACCTTATTCAAAAACCAAGACCAACTTGCAAGGTTGGGGGAAGACCAACTCCAGGCCCTCTTGTGTCCAGACCAATGTGCATATTGCAAAGACAGATACAGGAAAAACAATTGCCCCAACTAAAACTAGGACATAGCTTGTCAGAAGCCCTCCAGTCATGCCAGCCCTCAATTCCAACCTAAGATACCAGTGACTAACCTGATTGGCCTTGCTGAGATTGAATCTGACTAGCAAAGTTCAGGCTGCCCTACTCTGGGCCTCTGGGAACTCATGGTCAATGTGACAGTTAGGGGGATAAGCAATGACTTTTATGGTGGTTATCGGAGCTGAACATTCTGTGGTGACCATCCTGGTAGCCCCCTTCACCAATAGGAATGCCACCATCATGGGGGGAACTGGATTTCAGATGACAAGAATGTTTTGTTATAAGCATGGACCTGCCAATTTTGGGGACACAAAGGGGTCTACAAGCTCCTTTGTCTGAGTGCCTGTCTGTCTCCTAAAAAGAGACTTGCTGACTAAACTCGGTGCACACATAATGTTTACCAACAAGGGATCTGCTAAACTGACCCTAAACATATGAAAAGGACTGATACTGTCTGTAACCATCCCCAGAGGGCAAATGGAAACTGCATACTGAAGATAGGGAAAAAATTAACCCCCCAGAGCTGCTAAAGACATTTCCAGAGGTGTGGACTGAGAAGGCTCCACCTGAAATGGCCAAGAACTAGCCCCTAATCCTGGTAGAACTTAAGTTGATGGCAAAGTCTGTCAGACTGAGACAATATGTCATACCCAGAAAGGCATGACTCAGGATCCAGGAACCTATCAGCTGGTTGAGTAGTTCAGGGATCCTAAAAAGGAGTCAGTTCCCTTGAAACATGACACTGCTACCAGTTAAAAAAGCCAGGCAGAAATGGATACTGACCAGGACAGGACCTCTGGGCAATCAACAATGCCACAGTCCTTCTGAATCCAGTAGTTCCAAACCACTACACCCTACTATTCTGCTCCCACTATGAGCAGCCTGGGTTACCTGCCTGGATCTTAGAGATGCCTTTGTCTGCCATCTGTTAGTCCTCAAAACCAAGCCGCTCTTTGATTTCAACAGGAAGACTCCAATAATGGGTGAAGGATATAGTGAATTTGAAGGAGATTTCCTCAGAGTTTCAAAAACTCCCCAGTGCTATTTTGGGAAGCCCTAGTTGTCAAGCTGGTTGCTTTCCCTGAGGAAATACTGAATTGCACTCTATTACAAAATGTAAATGACCTCCTGGTAGCAAGTATAAAACCAAAGTCTCTAGATGCTGGCTACAAGTTTCTGGGGGCAGCCAGATTCTGTAGGATTTGGATATCTGGGTTTGCCAAGGGAGTGAAAGTCATCTATGCTGCCCTCACAAGACCAGAAAAGCAGCCCTTAAAATGGGATGCTCAACAGGAGTTTGCTTGTAAGGAGATTTAACAGCTACTCGCCAGCACCTCTTTTTGGGGTTACCAGATGAAAGCCAAGAATCTCTTTGTTCATGAAAATGACCATGTAGCCCTGGGAGTCCTGAGTCAGACAGTAGGGCCTGCTAGAGGCCAGTGGCCTACCTTCCAAACAATGGGACACAGTGACAGCGAGATAACCCCCTACCTCTTCTCTGGTGACAGCTTTGACCCTAATCAAGGAGTCGGGCAAATTGACCTTGGGATAGAGCCTTCAATTACAAGTACTCCAAGTAGTTATGATCCTGATGAATAATTAGGAACATAAATGGCTTTCAAATGCCAGAATGACCCGGTAACATGGGTTACTCTGTGAAAATCCCAGGGTCACACTGGAAACTATGCAGAGTCCACTTGCCAACTGGAAGTGACAATGGTCCTGCCTGTGTCACTGAAGCTCTCCCAAGTCCTCTCTCATATGCTAAAGAATGAATGAAATTTACACACAGCCTATAGGTCCAGGGAAAATTGAACACATGAATCTAACCCTTAAAATTATCTTGGCTCAGTATTGCTGAGAAACAGGGACAGAGTGGCCAGACAAATTACTTTGGGCCCTGCTAAGTGTTAGGTGCACACCTGGACTCTCAGGTTATTCCCCATATGAAATGCTCTTTGGGAGACCTTCCCCAATCATTAGGCATTTTACAGAAGATGTTATTAGGAAATAATTATGTAGCCTTCAAGTTACAAGCATTGAGCAAAATCTTTTCACAGATTAATAAAACAGTTCTAGAAAGAACCCCCATCCCTATATATAACTCAGCTTGTCTCTTTTAGCCAGGAGATTCACTTTGGGTTAAAGATTGGAAAAAGGCACCCCTCCAACCTTTTTATGCTATAATATACTGTTGTGCTTGCTACCCTCTCTGCTGTTAAAGTCGCAGGTATCACCCAGTGGATCCATCACACCTGACTGAAAAAGGCCTACCTCACACGGTCTTGGACACCTGTACTACACACCTGGACCCCCCAAATCCTCTCAGGACTCAATTCAGATGGGAGACCTCTGGACCCAACCTGACCTTGGAGACATAACCAGCAGACAATAGCCCTGCTCTAGTCACACCAGGGAGCTGACTAGTCTATGCACAGCTGAAGCCTGAGGCTATTATTCACAGGGCACCTTAAAATTCATTCCATGGACTGTTATAATTATCCCTGGTTGCTAGTCCTCCTTAGACTGCTTACCTTAATTTTTCTGTGGATCTTGCTACAGTTGCCCTGGCAGGCTGGATGAATGTCCACAGAAGATTCCTAGCCCTTATCTTTATCATTATTATGCGATATTTCACCCGTATTCTTGCTCTCCTTTAAAGATAATTTGGTACCCCTGAATTAACAGGTAATGGCACCAATAGCCTGATGTTGCTGGTGGGCTCCATGGTGACAGTTCTGGGACATAATAATCCAGACCCACTGCCCCTCTATGCCCCCAACACCCTAAAACTGGTAACCAATAGTTTAAAATGTATATGACTCTATGATAGACCTGCAGAAAGAGACAGATTCTTTAGCTGCAGTCACACTTCAAAACCACCACACCTTGGACTTTCTAACAGCAGACATGGGAGGGATTTGTGCCTTTTGAAACAAAGAGTCCTATTTCTAGGTAAACAGGTCAGAGGTCATTCATCAAGCTGTAAAGTGTCTCCAAGATTAAGATACAAAATTCCAGGAATGACTCCAAACCAGGAGGTTTTGGAATTTCTCCCAGGATAACTGGATGTCATGGGGTGCTCCTCTGTTGCAGATTTTGGTCCCCATCTTCCTGATACTTGGTTTGGCCTTTGTCTGATTAGATACTTCACATAATTCCTCCACAACTGGCTTCAGACTCACACAAGACAGTAAGTGCATCAGCTATTGGGAATATAACCCTGTAGCTACTAGTGATGCCCTATGAAGCTATCCATAAATAGAGGGATCAAAGAGGGGAAATGATAGAGGAGTACTATACAATAAGACAGTCCCCTGCCTTAACTCTATTTTATTTCCACAGAGTGTTTTGTTCCAGAAATGTAACAGTTTGTGCTGCCTGCCGGGCAGTGACTCCTGCCCACTATATCAAAATGTTTTGTAACTGTTTGAGCTGTATGACCTTTCAGAAATATTTTGTTAAGGTTCATCCCCTTACAAGAATGTTTTTAGGCTCTCCTCCCTTACAAGAATGTTCTGTTAAGCTCTGCCCCTCACAAGAATGTTCTGTTTAGCTCCACCTCTATAGAAGAATGTTCTACTAAGCTCTGGCTCCTTTCAAGAATGTTCTGTAACTCCACCCCTCTGATTCAGTAAGCATGCTCACACAGCATGTTTCAGAATAATCTGTAACTCTGCTCCTCTAATTTAGTGAGCATGCTTGCCTATCTTGTAGATTCCTATATAAGAAGGCTCTCATTTCTGGTCGAGTACTCACACTTTGGAGTATGAACTCCTCTGAGCCCACAGGCATAATAAAGTTTTTTCTCCACTTCTTTGAGTGACCATCAGATTCTCAAGTCTTCAAGTAGCAATAGCTGAGACCCAGGGGTGCAGTATTGAGCTGTAACAATCAGCTGTGACTCAAAGCTGTAACACTTGGCTATGGCACTGAGCTGTTCTACTTTCCCAAAATAGTGGAAAAGGCACTGTGATCAGCAAGATGTTCAAAACAAGCAAGGAAGTTTTATCTCTTCTGAAGTTCTCTAAGCAGAAGTAAATTGCAAAGGCAGAAATCTAAGTCAAAGTGATGATCTTGAGACAGGAGACAGTGTGGGACACATCTAATTAGGATCATAACACATGGGATACTTCCTGGGTCTTAAACTCACACCCTGACTTGAGCCTGAGAATTCCCCTCCTGCCCTAATCACACTTCTTGACCTCTGCCAAGTGCCTTAAAACATGTGCACTACCTGTTTTGGGGAACCCAAGGGTGACAACATGGCCATTATGGCATCATTAGCATTGTGGATTCCACACTCCTCCTCCAACAGCCTTAGTCAGCCTCCAACACTGGTTCCAACAAGGCCCATATAAAGACAAAAATGCTACTCCCAATGTGAGGCTGGAGATTCTCAATAGGACAGAGTCCTCTTAATCCCACCACAAGATATAGGAAAGTTCCCTATTTTTAAAAGGCCTCAAATCTTAAACCCACTCTTGAGTTTTCTCATCAGTCCACTCCCCATCTGAGTAGTGTATCTTTTTTAAACAAATTCCTCCATTCTTACTACTGCTGTGTGTTTTGCTCAATTCCTTGTTCAGGACAGGAAGAACTGGAGTTATGGGGTAAGGTTGACACTAGCTGCTGATAACAGGTTCATCTGATGAAGGAATCACACTTCAAGAAAAATGTTATTGAATTGTTTCTCTAGTGTGAGAAACTGAAAGTGTAAATGAGAACCAAAATGCATAATAGATATTTTGAAACAGGAAGAAAATGTTCAGAGGGGAAGGGAAATGGCCAGGGTGGGGGTGGCGGACAAAGAAAAATGAAAAAAGAAGGAAAAAATGGAAAAAAAGCTTTTTAAATAGGAATGGGTGGAAGAACTGAAGGGAGTGCAATGGAATGGAAAAAAATAAGAATGCAGATATATCATGTACAGGTACCAACTCCCAATGATGAATGTCATCACTTTGTATACCTAAAATGTATCACTAAACTCAATGATTAAAAAAAGGAAAATGGTGTTGACCCATGCAATATTTCATAATGATTCCATAAAGTTGTCTCATGTAAGGAAAATAAGTATCTAACCAGCTAAAGAGCTCCCACATTTTCTACAGTAGTTCTGTGCTTCTACATATAGTGTACTGATTCAAATGTAATTAAATGTGAAACTTTTAGGTAAAAATTCTCCTGGGGTGTCATCAGTCTGCTCTGTGCATAATTTCTCATAGAGAGCCATGGGTACAGCACAACGTGGCCATAGACTCCCTATCTATTCATCAGTATGGTAAGTTTATTGTTTCAGGGTCTTGTCATTGTCTCATGCAGGCAATAAATTAGGAAGAAAATTGCCTGTGGACTATTAATCTCTACCCACATGAGTTCCTGAGTTAATGGTCTCCCTGCACTAGCTCAGGCCTCAGAGGAGCCCAGCCAGGTGACCTCAGGAGCCCCTACTTATCACTCTGTCTCTTGTCTGGATTCTGATCACTCTCACCTCACTCTCTTTGAAGCCAAGCCTCTGAAGAAAACCTGCACTACCACTAGAGCTGGCTCAAGTTTCTACTGATGACCTCTCACTCACAGTCCTCTTCCTTCTTCATCTCAGGGTGAGTGGAGACTGGGTTGTCCTTGAGCAGGGTGTTAACTTCCTTCTCTTCCAGTGAATCACACCATGGAATGTAGTAGAGATTATCTCACCTAATGAGCATGGGTTGTTCACAAGAGAATATAATCATAGGAACCAAAATGAAATCTTTAAGGACTAAATCTTCTCAAGTCTACTTATTACCATCAACTCCCATCACCACACAAGTTTTCAGGTTCACAAAAAGATGAAGACTAAAAAACTACACATTGTAAAAGTCACTGGGGGGGGGGACTCGGAGTGGTAGGAGGCAAGCAGTAGCAGCAGAGCTGCAGCTCAGAGTGGACCAAAGAGCCCTTGCTCCTCCCTGCAGGCTGTGCTGTGATCCAGGCTTCGGATTGGGATCTCGATCCCCCGTCCCTCTCCTCCACCACCCTTCCCTTCCTCTTCCTGAGAACCCTCTGCAGTGGCGACCTGAGGACCAAGCACCTATCACCTTGGCTCTCTTCCCTAGGCCATGGAGCATGCCCTGGCACTGCTGCAGCAGCTGCTGGGAGGTCTGCTTGCCATAGGTGAGAGCGCCTGGGGAAGACCACTGGAACGTGCCTGGTGGAGCCGTGCATCTCCTGCTGAGGCAAGGGTGATGGGAAAATAAAGAACAATGATTGGCTGAATCACCCCGCTGCAGACAGGCAGGTCTGCGCACTCTCTACCTAGGTCCCCAGTCACGCAGAAAACTCAGAGGTCCCCAGTCCAGTGGAAGACTCTGAATCACCCTGCTGCAGACAGGCAGCCACCTGGTTCCACACTACAAAGACTAAGAGGACACCAGACCACCAGACCAAGGTACTGAGTCCCGCTTCTCCTGGCCCAGAGGTAGGG